AAAATTTCACAGTATTCTTAATTTTTCCAATGTAACATTATATCAGTTATTTTATATTTTATTTAACTATTGGAAATGATGTTAAGAATTACTAGAAGTTTCATAAAAGTAGAAATAGTTTTATATTTCGGATTGTTCTTTAAATTTACATTAAACGTTGAAAGCAACGAAATTGAAAAAGTCGTACAGCATTTAAGTTCCTTTTTTATGTAAAATTTTTCATTAAAGTATTTTAAGCTGATGTGTGTACGCGCGTGTATTGCTGTGTGTGTACTTGCACGTACGTAGTGTACTTGCCGTACGTTAGTGTGCATGTTTACATATGTGTGTATTGTCATTATATTTATCTAATATTACTCTTTTTGTATATTTTTTTTTACGATGATGCTTGCAGAGTAGTGTAGTTTACCCATAGGTCTCATTATTTAACATTTTACTCAACATTGCAAAAGAAAAAAAATTATAAACAAATATTTTGAATTTACAGTTGCTTGACGAAAATGTTGTTTTTAGTTGTAAATATCCAATTATTAAACAATTAAAATAAATTTAGATAAGTTTGATCAGAAAGACCCAATCACTGTGTAGCTTTAATCAACATTAACTGATAGATACAGTTTGCGAAAATCACAGAACTAGAAGAAGGAAGCTAGTCTTAATCAAGAATTACTAGATTGTCGATTTTTAACTTCTTTAATGTTTTTTTGCCTTTTAATTTATCAATTATAAAAATACGATTTGTACAGTGTATATGACAAAAATATCTATATGTACGAGTATGTATATTAAATATAAAATTTACTATCTGTATTACTGTGCAGTATTAAGTAGCATTTGACGTAACTGTTGCAATTGTGACTGATCGACATGATCTCATATTTCTAGTATATTAATTGTTATCGATGTATACATTCCAGTTATTAACATTCTTGTATGTTGAATGTTATTTGATTAATTAACGCCACGCCTAAATTAATATAAAAATGTGTAATATATAATACTAAATTAGTGTTACATTTTGCTATTGTCAATTGTACTTTGCAATGTATTTTAAAATACTGAAACTGCAATATAATATGCTAACATATTATTGAGATTAATATAATGCATCTTAATATTAATTTATAAAAACTAATAGTAATTAGTATTTGGTATTATCTTTCTTAAAATATATTATTATATTTTCAGCAAGTCTATATATAGCATACTTTGATATAAAAAATATTCATGCCTTTTTGTTTGGGAAATTATACAACCCAAAGCATGGAGGACTATCCTGTAGTATCGGACATATCAGTTGTAGATGTTTATGACATTGCATCAGAAATAGGAAAAGAATGTGAGAAACTGATAGATTTGTATGGTGTAGGATCTGTAACCAATCTTATGCCAAAAGTAATACATGCATTAGAATTGCTAGAAAATCTTGCTACCAAAAATGAAGGTGAAAATACTACAGTTCAAGAATTGCGAGCAAAAATTTCACAATTGGAAAGTGATAAAATTGGAAAGGCTGAAGATAGACAAAAATTTGAGAAGGTATTTTACTTTAAAAAATCAATAAATATATAGAAATAAAGCTTACTATATATACTATAAATTCTTTCTAGTTTGCCTATTTATTTAAAGATATTTAATTATTGTATAGGAACTAGAACAAATTGAAGAACATTGGCATCAAGAATCTCATGATTTAGTAGAAATGGTAACAAGGTTACAAGAAGAAAATAGACGATTATCAGAGGCTTTGCAAGAAACACGAAATGATAGTCAGTACAGCACTCAACAAAGTACTAACAACCTTTTTCCTACTAACACAATATTGGTAATATTACATTATACATATGTATTATTACTTATATGAATATATTTTTAGCTTTCACAGCTAGTCAAGAAGTTGATGTAGCAGTGTTACAGCATTTAAGATCTATGATAGACAAACAAAGAGACCAAATTCGTGCAAGAGACAAAGAGCTGCTGCAAAAGAATATGGAAATAGAAAATGTAAATTGGTACTTAAGTTCGTATGTAATTTGTGACTAATATAAATTGTGATTAAGTATTGCTTTTGTAAAATGTGATATCATATCTGATATAATATGATTTTCTTTAATATTTCTTGCTTCATACTACTTCATTTTTGTATTTTACATAGCTGACCGCACAGGTTGAGAAACTCGGAGTCGTTGGCCGGGAATTAAAGAGGAAACAACGTCAGGCACAGATGCAGGCACGTGGGCTAGTAGAAGAAAGAGCAGATTTCTTGGCTCAGTTGCAAGATCAGAATCGTGAATTAATCAATCTTCGCGCTCGCCTTGGTTTGGCAAAAAAAGAAAACGAAGACTTAAGTAAATTGCAAACAGGTTGCCCAGACTTAACAAATAAGGCTGTTTATGATCTAGACGATCCTGATAGACCTAGATTTACAACAGCTGAATTAAAAGAAATTTTACATGAGCGTAATGAATTGAAAGCAAGAGTATCAGATTTGGAAGATGAGCTAGAATTATATCGGCCAAAACCTGAAACGTATGTCTTATATATAGTCAGCAATAATATACTTTACCATATAAATTATGAAAGAATTTTTTTAATATCATATAATAATATAATTTTCAATATTATGTAAGAGTACAATATATTATTTTTTTTATAATATTATAGGGTTGAAGATGATAAAGATGCTCCTGTACAAGGTCCTCTTCCTTATGAACCAGATGATGCACCCTGGAAAAGAACATCAGAATCTGGTATTCGCAAATTGTAAGTAATCCATACGAGAAATTAAAAAATTCTAATTTTTAATAATAATATATACTTTCCAGTTTCCGCAAAATTTTCTCGGAGTCTAGCAGTAGTTTTTTAGTTGGTAGTAGTCCTCGCAGAAGTCTTTCTAGTTTATCAAAAATGGCCCTGTCAGGAAACAGCACATATGATGAATCCATATAATGATTTTTCAATACACAATGTTCAACATTTTATGAAGATTTACTGAAGATAATATTCTTGCATATACTCACCGCATTTTATTTCCTGGTAATGATACATAAATTGTTTTAAAATGATTTTTTTTGTTTAAGCTTTGGTTATTACAAATGAACGACTGGCTAATATGAACATACAAATTTAGACAAAGCATGAATATTTGCATATGTGCAGCATTAATATGTACAAATATATATACACAATGGTCTAAAACGAATTAAATATATATATACGTTTTTATGTTCACAATTGAATTAACGTGCCTCCAAAGTTAGAAGTGTTAATAATAATGCAGGTAATATTATGCATATGGTAGTATGTCATTATTTTTATTGATATATGTAAAATATAAATGACAGTATAAAGTACTTATAATATTAGGTGAAATGACACAATATCATGTGTAGGAATGCAGTAGTATTTTTTTTTATTATATGTTGATAGTAAACATAAAACAGGTTTCTAGGTGCAAAAAGATGGAATTTTATCTTGTTACAATTTGAAATTTCGTAATTTTTTTGTCGCATTTATTGTGTAATAAATACAAGTGTCTGAAAATGTACTGATAAATAGCATAACAAATATTTATTTTTGAATTATAATTTAAATATATTTAAATCATATATATGTTATATCATTTCTATGCGATTTCAGTATTCTATTTATAATTTGTGCCATTAAGTGTTAATGTGAAAATAAAGATATACATTATATTTATGTAGAATGTAAATAATATTTGGAAATTATAAACGTAGATACATTCAGTATAATATAAAGAGATAGTAATACATGCAATGATACAGTAAGTTATAATAGTGGTATTAATGTGGAAAACACCCGATCATCGTATAAAAGACATTCAAATCTAGTTAATAAAATATATTAATAGTAGTAACTTCTCATATTAATTCATAAATTAAAATTATAAAAAAAATCAAAATAGTTGTCACTAACATTATTTTAGTATATTTCAGAAAGAACATAGACTTGCAAACATGTCTTATACATATTCTAATTAAAGAATTAAAAATCATTATTTTAACAAAATACACTGTCATGTAAAAATGTAATTATCAATTTGGTTCTTATAAAAAAACAGTTGAATTTTTAAAAATCATTAAAAGTTTTAAAAATTTTGACAAAAGTTTTATATATTTTCCGGAGGTTACGACATTAAACACAAAAATAAATATTTGGATAATGTGTATTTTTAAAACAGTAAACACACATATAATTAATTGAATAGATTTAAATTTAATGAAATACTAAAATGAAATTGAAAAATTAATATTAATGGAGAATGTATTATAACTTAAGTTATATATAAC